TGAGACAAATGATAGTCAAGATCAGAGAAATCCAGCACAAGAACAATATACTGAAAGCTACTAGAAAAAAGAAACATATCACATTTAATAGAAAACCCATCAGAATAACGGCCGACTTCTCTTCACAAACCATGAAGGCAAGAAGGGCATGGGGCAGAGTACTTAAAATCTTCTATGACAACAAATTACAGCCCAGACTACAAGACCCTGCAAAACTTTCTTTCAAATTTGATGTTAAAGTGAAATGCTTCCATGACAAAGAACAACTAAAGAATTTCATGGTAATAAAACCAGCCCTACATAGACTACTAAAAGATATTCTAGAGAGGAACCAAAATGACCAGAACTCCACAAATGACAATAGAAGGAACCCACTAGATAGGGCAAACATTAAACACAGGAGAAAAAGGAGTAAAGAACAGTAGATAAATAATATGAAGATTGTAAGTCAATACATCTCAATTATAATCATCAATATAAATGGACTCAGTTCACCAATTAAAAGAAACAGACTGGCACAGTGGATTAGGAAACACAATGCAACAATCTACTGCATACAAGAAACACACTTAACTCGTAAAGAAACTCATAGGCTGAAAGTCAAAGAATGGAAAACAGTACTACATGCCCCAGCACCTCAGAAAAAAGCAGGGGTAGCAATCTTGTTCTCAGATAGTCTCAACTTCAAACCAAGAATGATCAAACGAAATAAAGGCCACAATATACCATTTATGAGAAAAATTCAAGAGGAAGAGGCAACAGGCACAAATATTTATGCAGCAAACACAGTAGCACTCAAATATATAAGACAAATCTTAAAGGACAGGAAAAATTTAATATCTGATACCCCAATCTTGACAGGAGAACTTAACACCCCCTTATCCAAAAAGGGTAGGTCAAGCAGACAAAAATCAGCAAAAAGTAGCAGAACTGAACCAGGTCTTGCGACAAACGGACTTAGTGGACATATACAGAATGTTTCACTCAACCACATCTGAATACACATTTTTTTCGGCTGCACATGGGTCATTTTCTAAAATAGGCCACATACTGGTCCATAGGTCATGTTTAAGTATATGCAAGAAAACAGAAATTATCCCATGCA